CAATTTCATAGGAAAAAAAAAACGAAAAATATTAAAGGTAAGACACAATTTTAAAATTTCTTTAACCATAATATTTTTTTTTAATATTCGCTGATTACTTAAACAAAAATTATTTCAAAAGTTTGACATCGATAGAATTATAAATTATTTATTACAAAAAAATTGTATATTAAGGATAAGTTATTGAAAAAGTTTTAATAAAATTATGCAAACTAAAATATAAATATTTTTTATGTTTACCTTTTATAAATTTTCAAAATGATTTCAGTTTCAAGATAAAAGTTATAATATTATAAATAATTTACATCATTTTTCTCTCATTAAATTTAAAACTAACGGACTTGTGTTCATAACCCTCATTAAAAAACATTTATGATAATTTATCCTTGCAAAAAAACTAAATTGTTTACAAAATAATATGTTTTCTCAAAATTTAAAACAGTCAAAATTAAATAATCAAATATATCAGTGTTTTTTGAAGAAATTAAAATCAACATTTCATTGAAGCAGTTTTAGGCTTTTAAATTAAGTTTCTTACAGTGTGAATAATAAAATAAACGTCCACCAAATAAATGAACAACAAAATAACATATGTCTTCTCAAATATTTCTTTTTTCCCCTTATGCTTCAATGTTCAATTTTTAATAAACTAAAACAAAAAAAAAATCGATACTTGATCTCAACAACATTAAGAAAATAATGAGATATACATTTTTAATAACTAAATATATTTATCATTTAATGTTTATTGTTCTAAACTTTCATTAATTCTACTGAAACAAATGGTAATCTTATTTCACTTTTCTTATTTCGTTATAATAAACCAAAAACACTATCAACAGCAAGAAAAACAATGAAAACAATGTTTGCTATTCTTAGAAAACCACACGTCATTTCACAACTAATTCAAATTTATGAAGGAAACATTTGAATTACAACTGTAAAATAGATCAATGCAGTTCTGTTGTTTCTTTTCCATTGTATGTTTCTGGCTTTCAAAGGGGTTGCGCCAGGTTTTTCTTTGTTTGCTTCATTGATTGAATTGTTGCGTGTCTTCAGATGCTGCTTTTTACTTCTTTATTCCAATTTGCTTTCGAAATACTTTCCATAAAAGACAGCGAGATTTCATTGTTTTTATGGACAAATCTTTTGATCTCGTCCCACCATCGATTCGTCATTTTGTTTCTTCTTTTTGTTGGATTTGTTTATTCAACTTAAATTAGTTTTGTCTATAGGGAAAAGATTTAGAAAACAATATTTTGTTCTTTTTACTTTTGGATAAATACATATTAATATAAGTTACTTTCATATTTTAAGGATTTTTATTAAAGATTCCAATTTTTTTTTTATTTTTAACAATTTTACAAAACAAAGAAAAAATATTAAAGGTAAGACATAATTTTAAAATTTCTTTAACCATAATGTTCTTCTAATATTCGTTGATTACTTAAACATAAATCTTCTCAAAAGTTTGACACGTATCAAATTACAAATTATTTAACACAAAAAAATTGTATATTAAGGTGAAGTTCTACAAAAAGGTTGGACAAAAGTATGCAAACTAAAATATAAATATTTTTGAATTAATGTTTGTCATATAAGATTTTTTTAAAACGTAATTTTAGTTAACACGTTTTTTCATTTATATATTTGGATTAACTTTATGCATTTTAGTAAATTAATCAAATTTATTCTTCATAATTTCAAAGTGCTTAATATTCTTTAATAAAAATTTTAAAAAATTAAGATTAAAAAAAATTAAGTTCTTAACCAAAATTAAGCTCTTAAAAATTAAAGCTATTAACCACAGAGAATATTGATTAGTTTTAATAAAACTATAGTAGAATTTATTATAGTAGAATTTATAAATACAATATTTTCTTTTTAAAAATATTTTTAATAATTTTTAATATTTATTCTTTCTTAAATATTAAAGCATGAAAAAAATAAAAAATATATAAATATTTTATTTAAAATAAAAAACGCTAAAAAAATAAAAATATTTTATTTAATAATTTCTGTAATTTTTTAAATAAAATTGAACACCCATGTAACATTGAGGTGCATATAACATATGCAGCCTTTTATAAACAAAATTTGATGCAGAGTTCGTTAATTAATGGTCAATATTTTTTATTTTATTCAAACCAAAATGTTTTTAAATTGCACTTGATGTATTTTTTTGTATACATTAAAATCATTACACACTGAATATGACATTTATATCCTATTTCTACAGAGTAAATGCATTTTTTAATACGTGACCAATAAAAGGCAATACACTGTGTATATTTTAGGTATTAAAAATCAATAGATGTAAAAGACTCAAATGTAACCATTTTCTAAGGATCCACAATAATGAGCATTAATACTGGAAGAAAAAACATACTTTTAAATTTTTAACAAAGATGTAGGAAGCGCGTATAGATCTCCAATCAATAGAAGGCAGATTATGCTTAGATCGGATTACTCTATAAAGACAAACGCGCCAAAAAGCTAAATAAATTCTTCTACGTGAACTGATTTCATAAATGTTTCTAAAGTATTAGAAGAACCAACATTCATCTTAAGTATGGATTTAGAGCTGAAGAAAGTTTCCTTCTGTTCAACTTAAATCAAATCGATCGGAAATGGGGAAAAATAAATCCTAATGGGTAAAATGTTTCCTTCGAAGAATTCTTTTCTATGATTGTCAACATTAATTTAAAAGAAAAATCGTACTGTCCGCGTATAAAATTTTTTTGTTAAACTTTTAAATTAATCCTCTAAAATGAGATTAGTGTTACATTGCTTTAAATTAATTTCGACATTAGCATTACATTGTTTTAAATTAGTTCATTTAATAACTTCCCAGTTTTGGAAGGAAACCTTAATTATTGATTACTAACTTAATTTTAGTGATAATTATTTAATAACTTCCTCGAACGTATCGCATGATATTATTTCTTTTAATTTAATTGGTCTTCTGTTTCAAAGAATACATTGTCAACATCATACTGACTTATAATTTCTTGTATACATATATATTAAGACTGTAGTAAAAACGTTAAGTAGGTAGTAAAGTAAGTTGTTTAATTAGTGAGAAAGTTACTTAATACTCAAATAGCTTTATAATATATAATACAGATAAGAGCAATATTATTAGCAAGTTAATACTTAAAACCCTCGACACATGATATATTTTTCTATTTAATTTTTACCTAAATTATAATATTATATCGTACGACCAACCTCTGAATTCTATCCTCACAGAAATCTGCTCCTTGATTTTTAAAACCACTCCGGCACGTATAATTTCAATTTGTCATCATGATCATTGTAGCAATTACCCCTAAGGTATTTTTTTAAGTCGAAGAACAAATAATAACCACTTGAATCTAAATCAGGGCTACACGGAGGGGGGTTAAATTGCTCCCAATCAGATTTTGATGAGATCTTGGGTTCGATGAACCACATGCTAACGAATATTGTCTCATGAAGCCAACTGATCCCTCTGCTGAACATTGCACGCCTTTTGCTTTTAATTGCATGACACAATGTATTCAATGTCTCATATATCTACCTGCTGTGATTGTGTTACCTCGATGCAAAGAAAAAAAAAATCACCAAGCAAAACATCTGACCTATCTCGAAACAAAGTGTTTAAGAATTTTTTGGGCTCAAGCTGTTTACTTGAAATTCATGTTTTTGGGCTGAAAACTGTTTACTTGAAGTAGAATGATTTCATTCCATGCACTGCTATTTGATTACAGAATAACATCAGCGACCCACTTTAGTCACCAATCACAATTGGGCTTAAAAACATCCCTTTCATCACTACTTCCCGAGGAAAATCAAGCACTGGCTAGACGATTGGTTTTGTTCAAGTCAGTTTTAAAACACAGAGAAAACGCAGCTTCTGATAGTGTGAACATTCAGTCACAATTTTATAAGGAACATTTCTTAAAATTTGAGGGAATTATTACATGATGATAAAATCGCGTAGCGTCTGTTCTTACCATTCTATCGCGTTTACTCCATAAACTTCACTATTCTATCGATGAATTTCGGAGACTTTCACATATCTTGCATTTAAGAAACAAATAGTAGTATGTATTTCGTAATTGGTGCGAGTTTCAATAGTCAGAGGCATTTTAACTATGCATGAATAAACGTCGGCGCAAACAAATGATCACGAAATGCTGTCTGAGGATAGCTGTTATTAAAGAATATTGGGAAGTATTTAAATTAAGAATTCAATACAAATTTAAATTAAATGAAACCTAAAAAGGGAAAAATATCTTTATTAATAGTTAGCGTCAAGGCATACAAATCAGTCAAGAAGTTTCTGTCAACGCGATGATTTAGTTTAAAAATCTCCGAAAATGAAACAAAAAATCAATAGCATATATACTTATTAAAGAAACTAGCAATTATTAGCTAAAGACTAGATGATCTAATTGTGAGTCTCTTCAGAGTTCTTGTATTGCGAATGTTGTTATGGTTTTGTTATGCAATTTGATTGTGTTTGTAGGAAGCACATGATAATTAATTGTTGTGGCTTTTGTTCCGAAAATGGTCAAATGGTCGTATTTCTACTTCATGCTTGAGGACTGTAGTTGTACTTGTTGTTATATATATATATATATATATATAAATAGATAGATAGATTTTGGTATATGTAAGGCTAATGGGAATTCTTGATCTAAAAAGCCTTAGACATTCAGAGGGCTATGTTTGTTGATGTTTCTTATCCCACTTGGGTGGCCAAGCCCATGAGCCCATACGTACTCATGATTGAAGGGGAAGGAAGCAGCTTCTGTTGTGATGGAGCACCCGTAGGTAGAAGCCTGACTTTTGCTCCGTGACGCTCTTTCAGTCATAGAAGACCGGGAACTACGGCTTAAAGTGGATTCCGAACCACTACAAACATCCATGGCACCGCCGGGATTCGAACCCGAAACCTGTGGCACCGAGCGCCAGAGTGCTAGACACTCGGCCATTCAGGTCCCACATTTGCCAACGGCACGCAGTGTTCCCAGGTGGTCACCCACCCAAGTACTGACCGCGCCCAATGATGCTTGACTTCGGTGAAAGTCATTTTTATTATACAACTGTTATCTCTTTAATACTTGCCAGACCATACCATCTTAGCACTTGAGGTTGTAAGCCTTTAAGGCATTGGTGCCTCATTCCTCACCCCCCGACTGACTTGACTTCGGTGATCTAACGAGAACCGGTATATTCAGCATGGTACGGCCGTTGGCTAGAGGGCTATAACCAGCAGAATACAGAATAGGCACGGGTATTCTACTACGTAAAATATGCATGCATAATATAAAAGAGAGGATTAAGCCTGCTCTATAAATGGAAGAGATTCGACAAGAAGATATCGAAATAAATCAAAACAAAATACAAATAATAAGTTTTTAGACTTTTTGCTCCTTGGGCCAGAAACTCTGTATTACGGTTTTATTACTCTGTTTATTGAAAAACCTTACTTCTCGTACTATTTCGATTACTTTCTTATTCGTGAATAATTGGAATAGGTTAACATAAAGCAATAAACAAAACGAGAGTATACAAGGGACTTATTAAAACACAATCCATCATTATTAAATTATTATAAGTACAATTTGTTTTACAGAGCACGTATAAGTCCCCACTCAGTCATATCAAAGTAGGACGATGCAAAATTCATAAATACCGATTCAAGATTCGAAGTTTGTATTAGATACATCTACAATATGTACAGAATCAGATAAAACTATTGAAAAACAAGTTAACTATTAAATAAGTTGAAATTTTAAAAGAATATCTAATTCATTTTTAGTATCCTGGCGTACGGATATTTAATGACGGAATGTCTACTCTCAATTTATTATAAGCGGCAAAATCGATATATTCAAATGAATAATTACTGTGACATTTTAAAAAACTTTAAAATGTCACTTTTTTAGAAAATTAAATAAATATTTGGGAATATTTGGTCTTAAAGTAAATTTGTTAACTATTATTGTATTTTGAAGGTCATTTTTTTTGCTTCGCTTAAAAATGATGCTATTGCAAATTTAGTTAGTTTTAAGAAATTCACTGCATATGCTGAAGTGACAAAAGTCATGGGATAGCAATATGCAAATTTTCAGATGGCAGTAGCATCGCGTAGAACAGGTATAAATGTGCAGTGCTTTCGCAGAGCTTTCATTTATGTTCAAGTTATTCATGTGAAGAGGTTTTGACGTGATGATGACCGCACGACGGGAATTAACAGACTTTGAACGCGGAATGTTAGTTGGAGCTAGACGCATGGGTCATGCCATTTCGGAAATCGTTAGGGAATTCAACATTCCCAGATCCACTGTGTCAAGAGTGTGCCGAGAGTATGAAATTTCAGGCATAACATTCCACCATGGACAGCGCAGTGGTCGACAGCCTGCACTTAACGACCGAGACCGGCGACGTCTGCAAAGAGACGTAAATTCTAACAGACAAGCAACACTGCGTCAAATAACAGCAGAAATCAATCTGGGACGTGCAAGGGACTTGTCTGTTAGAACTGTGCGGAGAAATTTGGCTTTCTTGGGCTATTCCGGCAGAAGACCGACTCGAGTGCCTTTACTGACAGAACGACATCGCTTGCAGCGACTCTCGTGTGCACGTGAGCATATCGGTTGGTCCCTAGATGAATGGAAAACCGTGACCTGGTCCGATGAGTCACGATTTCAGTTGGTAAGAGCTCATGGTAGGGTTCGAGTGTGGCGCAGACCCCACGAAGCCATGGACCCAAACTGTCAACAAGGCACTGTTCAAGTCTGGTGGTGGCTCCGTAACGGTGTGGGCTGTTTTTTCATGGCATGGACTTGGTCCTCTGGTGCGACTGGACCGAACATTGACTGGAAAATGTTTATGTTCAGCTACTTGGAGATCACTTGCAGCCATTCATGGACTTCATGTACCCAAACAACGATGGATTTTTATGGATGACAATGCGCCATGTCACCGGGCCACAACTGTTCGCGATTGGTTTGAAGAACATTCTGGACAATTCCAGCGAATGATCTGGCCACCTAGATCGCCCGACATGAATCCCATCGAGCATTTATGGGGCATCATCGAGAGGTCTGTTCGTGCCCAAAATCCTGCACCATCAACGCTTTCACAATTATGGACGTCTATCGAGACAGCATGGCTCAATATTCCTGCAGAAGACTTCCAACGACTTGTTGAGTCCATGCCATGTCGAGTTGCTGCACTTCGCCGGGCGAAAGGAGGGCCGACACGATATTAAAAGGTATCCCATGACTTTTGTCACTTCAGTGTATAATGGTGTAAGTCTTGTCACATTACAATAATCATAGATATTTTTTCCAATAATTTAAAACATTTATCTATAGAGAATTAAACATTTTAAAACTGATATCGTAAAAATCTGTTTCAAGATTATTTATAATAATTATTTTAATGTTAATTTCATTGTGTAGATATAGTATAAAAATTTGTAGGATTAAATACCATTAAGTTATTCTGATCATAATAATGATCATATGATCATCATTCTTATCAATTCAATTTTCTCAGCAATTCATATATGTAAAAGAATTGTTTTTTTATGTTAAAAATAGAAATGAAAGAAGATATATAGAATACTATACAAATAAATTATAAAAACTTCTACGTTTATAAATAAGCATATCAAATAATATAATGAAATATATAATTTTTATAATATACCACATATATAATTTTTATAATTTTTAAATTTAGGAAAGCAAAGCAATCAAGAAAATTGTCAATCCTTTTATCTAATTTAATGTTTAAACATTATGCAAAAAAATTTATCATTAATTAATTTGTCTTTAAATCTGTACACCACCGTGGCTTCTAATGTATGTAAATATGTGTTGTATTAATAAATTTGTCTGTCTCTATTATAATATAACGTTAAACTATAGGTCCCGGACTAATTGTCCTAAAGTACGGAAAAAATGACCGTAGAGAGATATAAATAAAACGAATAATTGAAATATTACGTAACAATTATCTTTTTATGGTTTTCAGACCAATATTTTTTCAAATATTTTTACTTTCTATAATTTTGATGGCAGTAATTTCCATCAAAAAAAATTTCAATTCATGTCCATTTTAGTTTCAAATAATGTATATTTAATTTTGTTAAAATAATATTATGAAGAAAAATTTATTTTCCTTTTTAATTCTTTATAAAATTATTTTAAAGATTCAAATATTTATGATTCTTTTTTTTTAAATAACAGTGATCAAATTTTTATAACAGCTTCTTGTTATTTATAACTCACACATTATAGAGTTTCACAAAAAGGGTGTAATTTTAAACTTCTTTGTTTGTAGAGTTTTATTACTTTCTAGATTTTTATTACCAATCTGATTTTGTGCATTTAGATATTAAAATAGCTATGCATAATTTAAGAACCCAAACACAAAACAGCCAAATTTTATGACCAAATGGAAGATTTATGTCTTAAACAATGTTTAAATTTAAATGAATTATATTGAAACCTATAGCTTTAGAATAAACTCATATAACACAAAGAAATTAATTAACACGTTATTTATAATTTGAAGTAAGAAACACTTTAAGTAGGAATAAGTTTTAATAGCCGTAGGTCCCGGTCTCCCATGACTGTAAGAGCGTCACGGAGCAAAAGTCAGGCTTCTACCTACGGGTGCTCCATCACAACAGAAGCTGCTTCCTTCCCCTTCAATCATGAGTACGTATGGACTCGTGGGCTTGGCCAGCCAAGTGGGATAAGAAACAACAACAATAACATAAGTTTTAATAATGCAAAAGCTCTAACTATTATGTGCCATATAGCTAACAATTAAAAACAAACTTTCATTATTTGTAGTTCAAAGATAATTAAATAATGACATATAATTCCAAATAAAATCACAAATAAATTAATTTAAAATCAAATTAAGATAGCGTCTCAGTTCTAAATAACAAGCAATAGCAATTATGTTTTCATATTTTTTCATGGTTTTAATAAAATTGCACACATAATTTTTATTTTTATTACCTTTATTAAGACAATTATCGGCGTAAATAGAAAAGAAGATCAAAGAAATATTTTCTGCAATATGTATACTTAATAGTAGTACACAAAATGCAATCAATCGAAAATAATAAAAACGTATTACAATTATTATATTACAGTTTAGACCTGAGTAATATCAATGGTGGGAAGTTTATTTCTAGCAATATAAAATTAAATTATAAATAATTTTTTAAACATGAAATTAAAAGAAAACAGATAAACAATGATTAAAAAACTGCAAAACTTTGTGCTTTTGCCAGAATAATATTTTTCAATACCTACTATTAGTTCACACTCTCCTTATATATATATCCTGTTCAAATGTTCAATAGTTAATAAAATACTTTTTATTTATCCACTCAAGTTCAAATAGATTTTTTGAACTTGTAGTGGATGACACTTGGTGTTAATACAGTTTTTCAAATATTAATTCATTAATTAAATTTAATTAATTAATTTTAGTTTTTTTAGATTTAAGTTGCATGTATCTAATAATAGATGGCGCCATATGTAAGAGGAAAATATCAACTTTTTTTGTAAAGAACTTTTCTGCAATATAGGGGAAAAAAATAGGAATCGTCTTTAAAAATTTTTTTTATATTACTTGTCATATCAAACAGATGGAACTTCTCATTGAATCTTTCTTTTCATGCAAATTACATTTTATTAATTAATAATCAATCAGTTTACTCTTAAGAAAATTATTGTTTAATAATTTCCCTCTAAAGTAAAAATAGTATATGATGTAAATAAACATCTAATGATATAATAGGGAAGAATAAAATGCAATTACGAAAATTATTTTCATGTAATTCTAATAAAATATAAAATGAATTATTTTACAATTAGTGGAATATTATCTTATTAAAATGTATTAAATGTATTAAATGTTATTTGAAATTATATAGTAATAAAATATTTTGCATATTGAAAAGTAATGATTTCATAAAAATTATAATTCTATTAATTCAAATAAAGCCTTTCAAATGATATTCCCAATATCTTTTCGATAAAGATCC